GAGTAGAACAAGGGAAAAAGTTGCTCTCTCGACTTGCTCAACGAGCAAATTCGAAAACAACAACTGTTACTAACTTGCTCGCTGCCTTGAGAAGTCCAGCGAACAGAGTCGGGCAGGTGACACGTAGCGCAGTAAAATATGAATATCTTGAGCTATAGAACTCAAAATTTAATGAAACTTGAACCTATGTAAAGCCTACTGAAAGACCTATAACTATAAAAAAAAAAAAAAAAAATCTTAGGAACTTTGGATAAGTGAATAAATCTGGGTTCAGTTTTGAAGTGGTTGTCCTATTTCCAAAAATCCAATTTTAAGTAGTTATTTTGTGAGTTGCATAACTCTAGCTATAATCAACCAAATGACTCATGCCATACCTATTAGAAAACTTGAGATGTCTAGTTTAACATAGTATAATATTAGAATTTATTTTGGATTTGTCTAATTCCAGCTTGGGAATTAGTATTGATTGTTCATAAATGTAACATCCCCGTCTCGAGCCGGTTCAATTAACATACATATGATAAAACAGAAAACAGCGGAAGACTTAACTTCTGAAAATACGAGCTAAATTTTTCTTTTTCTTTTTAAATTCTCATTCGTCGTAAACGAAAATCGGGCAGAGTTTCCTCTATAAATCGGACAACTGGGGATTTTCCAATCCCTCACAGAAGCATTTCCTGATAAACAGTTTATACAAATATAATCAAATGCCCATCCATGGGCGCATGCATAACTTGGCTCAGTGCCACTATATCTAACAGCATGCAATCCAACACATAAACATATCTGAATACTACCTCATCATATAACGTGCCTGAATACCCAAATGTACATGCATCAAAGCGACAGACATGTACAAAACATATACAGGCCATATACATAATAAAGGATCAATATCATGATCCATCAAATGCGAAAATACTAAAATACATCAAACACTCCAAAAAGGTAGTAGCCTACAGCCACTCAAAATCCAATCTGTCAACTGCCTCAGCCACGTGTCGTGTCCCTGCCTAGTGAGGAGTCACCGGGAATCTGGGCACCTGAAAATATGTCCCCAAAGAGGGGTGAGATTACAAATCTCAATAAGCTCCAGGTTTATAGAGAATTCTCCATACCCCTGGCTCACTCCTGCATGAAAGTCAGATACAGAGTATACAAATACAACATATAACAGATATCATAACAGAACAGAGCATATATCCATATCATATCAGAGATGTGCGCCGTCATTCCCAAGGGAGGACCCCAAGCGGAAATCAACGCACGTGTTCCCGAGGGAGGACCCCAAAGCGGAACCAGACATATCAGAGGCGTACACCATCAGTCCCGAGGGAGGACCCCAAAGCGGACATCCGGGTACTATACAATCAATGGCCAGAGATTGTTACAGAAATCATATTACAGAAGTCATATCAGAGCAAAACATATCATGTTATCAAATAACTCTATATGAATGCATCTATACAAAGCATCTAAATCACAGTCATACAGTCCAACCATAGTTCACTAACCATGGTGGAGCACTCAAGCAGGAAAAGACTCCTTAAACATAGAGCTTACCTCTTGAAGCTTTACCAATACCCTTACTTGTTGCACAAGTTACTTATATATCTTCAAGAGATTTTGATTCCTTTTTAGTCCCTAGGTACACCTAGAGCAAGAATCCACAAATACCAATTAATAAAATGCCATCATGCCTAGCTTTCACATAAGGCACACATTTTATCGCTTCTTTTCATTTCTTTGCATTTTTGCCAATCCTATGCCAATACACAAGTCTAGACCTCTTTATAACCGTTTGTGTTCTTTAATTTAATCATCCATTCCCTTACGAATTTCCAACATAAATCATAACATTTTACTTTAAAGGACCGTGAGCCTAAAATTAGGAAATCAATATATTTTTCCATGATTTCTTTTCAACCATTTCACTTCATGACTTATCATTTTCATACTTTGAAACACACATATTTTATTAAAATAAAATATGACAACATCTTTCCCTAAACATCCTATATGTCGAATCCTTTAAGGGAATTTCCAAGGATCCTTCTCTTTTACAATACATTTTCCTCACTTAATTTAACAACTACACGTACATAAATATATATATATATATACCAAGTTCCAATTTAATTTTTGGGAATCTCAAGCTCTTTAAATCCTTCAAGGACGAAACATCAAGGGTATGTTTCAAAGGATTTTCTTTCAAATTTAACATTCTTACTAACTCATCAAATTTCCTCTTATTCAAGCACATTAAACCTTCCCAATACATACAATAAATCTTTGTGCATCACCCCTAATTACCCTATCAAGGCCGAAATCTAGGGTATGTCACCATGGGATTTTTTTTTCCAATTTTTTATATACACGTTCATATGCTTATTCCACATTCCTATATCCAACACATCATCAATCCATCATCAATTCAAATTTTAAACTAATTTATTTCACACCAACACATGCTCACAATTTCTATGACACAAACCATCAAAATAACATCATGGAAACAAAGGTTTCTTACCACTAATCAACTTCCCAAAGCCTAGAAAGCAACCTCCAAGCCAAGCTCCATCAAAAACTCACTTTTTCTCCTCCAATGAATAGTAACTCGAAAATGAGAGGAGGAATAACTCTTCACACACTCAACTATAGCTCAAATGGATAGGAGGAATGGATTCATTGAGTGGTTTCCAATCAATTTCATGTGGTGGGTCATTGGATTTGGTGGCATATTCAAGAAGAAATCAAGAAAAGAAATAAAGCCCTAAACCCCCCCCCCCCCTTCCATGATAAACTCCACGGCTTGCAAGAGAGAGAAAGGAGTTTTAGTTGTGTGAATAGTGATTCACTTGAATGACAAAGCTTTATAGCCACATGTGACTTTTTAACAGATGTTTTTCTTTCGCGTATTTTCACTTAAACTGACCCGGAACTAACTCAATGCTACAAACATATTTTTATTTTTCTAAAATCATTTATATTAATTTTTAATTCTTACAAAACAATATTCATAATTCACAGTATGATTTTTGCACCGTTTTTGACGAAATGCACTGTGAATCACTAATTGTACTTCATTTACTTATGAAACTTAAACTTATAAACTTATCATTTTCTTGGGCCTATATTGACTTGCTTGGCATATATTGGACTTTCTTATTCTTATTTCATCAATTATTTGTTTCTGGGCTATACCGGTTGCTTAAACAGCAGTACAAAATACCCGGTAGAAACACTATTCACGAGATTTTCACGGAAAGTGCCAGACTATACAATTTTTCGTTCTGAACTCATATTTGTCATCAGAATTATCAAATTATGTTCCTAAAATTATTTTGCTCATTTAAGATCTACCGGTTAATTCACAAAACTGTAAATTCTTCGGCAGAACGCACTGTTCATAACATAGTCATGATTACAGTCAAAAATACTCGAAATCGCTCACTGAATCTAATTATGGCATTTAAATCCTTAAATTAAATCTCTAACTAAGATTTACCAGTTAGGGTCATTATATTCACCCCACCTTTTAAGGATTTTGCCCACAAAATCAAATATCAAATATAAATATACCTGACATCAAACTCAGGATACTGCTGGAGAATTTCATTCTCCCGCTCCCAAGTGGCGTCCTCAGGAGTCAATCCTTCCCATTGCACCTTGATCATGGGAATAGTCCTGTTTCTCAATACTTTTTCATCCCGTGCTAGGACCTTCAACGGTCCCACAACAAATTTCAAGTCCTTTCTTACTTCGATATTGTCCTGCTGTACAATGTGGGATGCATCAGGTACATATTTGCGAAGCTGACTGATGTGAAAAATACTATGCAGATTTGACAAATGTGGAGGTAAGGCAAGCTGGTATACCACAGGTCCGACCCTCTTTATAATCTGGTAAGGCCCAATGAACCTAGGACTCAACTTCCTTACTCCTAGAGCACGCCCAACACCCGTAGTCGGAGACAAACGGATAAATACATGATCCCCTTCAGAAAATTCAAGGGGTCGGTGTTTTGCATCATAATAACTCTTTTGGTGGCTCTGTGCTTTCTTCAATCGATCCTTAATCATCATAATTTGATCGGTAGTCTCTTGGACCATATCAGGCCCAAATAATTGCCTCTCACCAATTTCTGACCAACACGTAGGCGCCCTGCACCTACGGCCATACAAAGCTTCATAGGGAGCCATGCCCAAACTGGCATGATAACTATTATTGTAGGAAAATTCCACCAAAGGAAGATACTTATCCCATGCATTTCCCTGCTCTAAGGCACAAGCCCTCAACATGTCCTCCAGGGTCTGAATAGTCCTCTCAGTCTGACCATCAGTCTGGGGATGATAAGCTGTACTCAGCCTCAGCTGTGTACCGAATGCCTGTTGCACTGCATCCCAAAGTCGAGAAGTAAATTTAGGGTCCCGATCACTAATGATACTTTCAGGAACTCCATGTAGTTTCACAATCTCCCTTACATATAACCGAGTCAGCTGCTCTGTAGAGAAACTCGTTTTAACTGGTATGAAATGTGCAGACTTTGTCAATCTGTCAACAACTACCCAGATAGAATCAAAACCAGCCTTGTATGGCAATAGAGTTTGTTTCTTTTGATTGTCCTTCAATGGAAGGACTTGTGGACTCTATTATACCATTAGTTGAGTTTAATATTATGTTAAGGAAAAGAAAAAGTTTACTCATATTTAATAAGTGAATGATTTATGAAAGTAAGACACTTTACTATTGATTTATTAATTGATTTTGTTGTGCTTAATGCCATAATTGATATTAATATACTGGATGCACACGAGATGTTACACCGGCTCCGCTAGCTTGGACCTCATCTGTGACTCGAGCCTAATAAGCTTAAAATAGAAGTATACTTGGACCTTTTCTTTAAAATAATATAAAATTTCATTAACTAATATAAATCTTTGCCTAAAAACCTGAAAGTATGTTAAGTACTGCGTGTAAGTTTACAGAATTATACATATTCAAATTGTTAGGTCTAAGTTTATGCTATTGCTCCCGTGAGAGTGTATAGAACTAGAATCAACGACATGATTGTCTGTTGTGTTTGGGGAAGACAAATGATTATGCATCATTGGCATTAGCGGAGTGCTAAAAGAGAATGAAAGATCTAGAAATTTCTTCGTCCTACTATTTTCTTCTTCATTTGACATATCACTAAGTAAGCATGCACTTGACTCGGGCTCCTGCAAGATAGCAGAAAAAGTATTATTTCTTTAGCATAAAAATGGAACTGTGCGGTTTACACAAATCAGAGTGCTTAATTAAAAAACAAAATCGCTTTATATAGATTTTCTAGTAAGAAATTTATCCATTAATTACATAGTACAAATTAAGGGGGCATTAATTAGTTACTTGTTAATTAAATATTTTCTTTTCATTAATTAATTTTAGACCGCATATATAATAGCTTCACTAAACTTGTACGCACAAACTTACTTTTTTAATTTAAGGTATAGCAACAAACTAAACTATAAATAAATACAAGTGTTTATACATACAACACAAGACATTTTACAATATATGTTTCATTTTAGTATTGTACGTACGGTGCTTATATGCATGTTTTGTGTTATATATGTCCAGAACTTTCATGTACATGTTTATATAAGAAATGTAAGTAAAACTTTTTATTAATACGTAAAGCTAGTAGACTACAAAATACAACAAATACATAATAAAAGCATAATATTTTCATTCAACTACAAGAAAAAAAAACTTGTGTAGCGACGGAATTTCAATATAATTTTCCTCGCAAAATTCATGGCTAATTTGATTTTCCTAACAAATTCCGTCGCAAACCTCGTTTGCGAGGGAATCTGCGACGAAAAATAGTTGCGATGATAAAATTACCAACAAAAATTCTAAAACAAGTTCGTTACTAAGTTTTTTCGAATAGTACGAAAGCTGCATGACTTTACCTACTTATATAATTATTATAGACAAGATTTCACTTAATAATAATATAAAAAAAAATATTAAAGAGTGTGTTGTTGGTGTTTATTTTATCTAAACATGCACAATGTACAATGTGGGTTTTCTAAATAAAGATTTGATGCTTTAAAACTTGAGAAGTTTGAACAGTTGCTAAAAGTAATTACTTATAGGGTTAAAAAATTGTCCGAATGTAATTTATGGCTTTTTTTTGTAAACGTAATTTATGCTCTTTTAATAATTTATAACTATGTATTAAGGGTAGTACTTAGTTATGTATTAAAGTTATATTTTTTTCACTTTTCACGTCAATAGACAATGTCTAATGAGAGAAAAAAGTATAACTTTAATGTTATAACTACATATTACCCTTAGTATATAGTTATAAATTACTAAAAAGATATAAGTTACATTATTTAAAAAGACAAATTATTTTCCCCAATAGAAAGAGATGTACTGTAGTATCTCAAATAGTATAGTACCTGATTTATATCATGATCTTCACTGGTTTGTGAAAGTCCTTTATTCTCTTCTATATTGACAATCCTCGATTCATATTTTGATGCTCTTAATTTAGTTCCACGTGATCTGAAAAGTATGAAAAAGGATGTGAAAAAAGTTAAATGATCACCATATAATAAAAAACAAATTAATTAATAAAGTAAGAATGTATCCAAAAAAAAAAGTAATAAAACTGAAATGGTATTCAATCAATAAAGTTAGGTTAACCTCAGTCCTTAGACTTGTTTTTTTTTTTTTTTTAGATTTTCAAATAATTTTATATGGTTTAAAATTATAATTGGACCTTTACAGTTTCAAATAAAAAATGAATGGAGTCCCTGAATCCAACTTGTTAATTATTAGAGTGTCATAATACCTAATTAAAAAAGTTTTTGAAATTATAGAAACTCAAATATATATAAGTCCTAATCGAACTATAAGAACTTATTTCAAATTTCTTAAAAAAGCATAAGAATCTGCATATGAATTTAACGATCTATCCATTATTAGTTGAGACCATAAAATTGATATTCAAAAAGCATATCATTAATTTGTATTGGCTGGACACTAGATAATTAAGCTGTTTTAAAACAATTAAATAGCACGATCATGTTAAAAAAAATTAACTCTTACATTTTATAATTGAGGGTCTATTTATAATTCATTTCTAATTGTTTAGAGATAAGTCATTACCTTTGGGGTGAACAAACGGAGCAGCTTGGAAGATCGTTACCATGTGCATTTCCTTCCAGCAAATGATACATTGGAGCGAGAATTGTATGGTCCTTTATATTTCTGTACATCTAACAGACCAAAATTTCTCTAAGATTATATACAAAATACTTCTAAGTAAATTAGTTTATTGATTTAATTTAAAAAGAAGAGTAATGTTCACAATTACACATATATAACTTGCCAGCCAATTATAATGGCTGATCTTTGAATTTTGTGGCCTCTTGATTTTTATCGGTCTTTTGCAAGCCAATTATGACAATCACATTGTGCAAATTGATACATTGGTACATCCGTTTTTAGTTTAATGTTGATGTGTAAAAGTCTTCTATATTGAAATCCAATTATGTGTTGCAATATCACCTTATTATCCTCCCCTTTTTCTTCTCTCATGACCTCTACTCAAATTCATATCATAAAATTACAACTCATATAGATAATAATATAGGGAAATCTTTTTCTTATATTGTTGAAAATGAGTTATCTTATGTTAGTGAAACAAAATTATAAGAGAGACCCACAAATGATTGGAGAGAAAAAAAATAGAGATGGGATCTACATTTGTTATGTGTTTGTAGGAAAATAAGCTATCTCATGTTGAATGAAATAAATATAACCCAATAATATAAAAGAGTTTACAATGAGACTGAACCAAACTAAATAGATTAAGAGTTAATGAATGATCATAGTTGGTTTCTGAATGTGAGATGGATATACAAAGGGATTTTGAATTAAAATTTATTAGTTCAAAGCAAATATCATTCTTTATGTGCCGTGTTATTTAACCATGTTCCTTTAGAAGGTTGTTCTTGATAATTTGGACCTTATTATATACAAAATTTTGTCTCGAGTGTATGGATTTATTAATTAAGATATAGAGATTGGAATTGTTATTACTAATACCAAGGCTGTTTACTTTATCACATATTATTACTATAAAGTTGTAGTATTAACAAAGAGTGTGTAACATGTATGTAATCTTGCAACCTAGAAAACTGAAGAGTGGTGTAGCTAGAAACGATTTTCAAGCCTGAAGAAAAAGAAAAAAAAAAAAGAAAGTAATTCCCTTTCTATAAAGCTTACATGGATGTGCACTTTTGGCATCTGAAAAAGTTAGCTACACAATGAAACAAATTTGCTTTCATAGATTCTGCTAAGGTAGAGTTAGAAATGGGGATGAAAGGAATTTCATTTCTTTCTAATTTACCCTTTCGTGAAGCATATGCACATGTACCTAACCTTTATAGTACATGGATTATATTATTATTTATTTATGTTGCGCATGCAAGAAAGACATTTTTAAAAAACTGCAAACTAAAGTAATGATCTTTTGTTTATTCTTTTGATGAGGAAGACGTATAACCTGCAATGTAATATAAATATAAATGTGATAATATTGATTATTTCTAAAATTCTTCACATAATGAAAAGGCCAGAATGTTATGTGTTTGTTAATTTGCTACCAAATAAAGTAACAGCATAAAGAAGTGAGGTTAATAATAGGATCAGATAGCTCTTAATGAACTTTTGTCATGAACTGAAAAGTAAAGGAATATAATCATCATCGAAATATATCAGGCTATTGTGGAGAGACAAATTTTGCTTTCCACAACTACAGTATTTTCTTTTTGTTTTGTTCGTTTCAGCAATAATTGTAGGTGCTGAAAAAATACCCTAGCTAGACCCTATTTTTTTTTATTTTTTTTTTGTCTCATGCTTTGATGGATTTATAGAGAGATAAGAGCTAAGAACTTTTTCATTTTAAGGGAGGAGAACTAATCTAGGTACAGGGCCAATATCTCAAATTAGGAAAAAATTTACTATTTGTAAATCTTGGATTTTACTTTTAAAAGAAAGTATATGAACAAGAAAAATTATGACTGGACCACATGGGTGAACTATATAATACCTGAAGATGGCTTTTAATGTGAGAGATCCTCAGTCCTTTCACTTCCATCATCTGCAAAATGCGCTTTGGAGTTGCCTCTGCAAAACCAGTTTGCTAAATTGTCAGAAGTAGTTGTTGAAGCATAGCAAACAATTCCTTCCCCTCTTGTTTTATATAACACTCACAAAAGAGGGGAAAGAGAATGAAACAACATAATTTTTTTTAAAAAAAATTTACTATCAGTTATTGGATTAATCGACCAATCCAATCGAAAAGCTCAAAATCACTGATTAAACTGCAACAACAGAATAACACAGTGAAGAATATAACTTTATAACCTGTATGTGTTGCTTTTCTTTAGCATAAATCTTCTGCAATATGTTATATTAAGTTGCTTCCCATATATGTCATAGATTTTTTTTTCTGTTTTTCTTGTCACAAAAAAAAAAAAAAAAAAAAAAAAAAAACGTCTCTTGGCCTGAGTAAGAAAGAGTATACAAGAGGAATTACAGGGGGAGAAAAAAAAAAAAAACTCTAAATGAAACTCACACACATGCAAGAAACTAGGTTAATTAACAAGCATGAAGGGAAAAAACAATTTTCTAGGAATAGACATGGACCTGAAGAGATAATTGGTAACCCTAGAACATGTACATGAAGGAAAACTTACTGTGTTTTCCACCTAGATTTTCCACAGCTTCAACAAAGTATTCATGGAGTTCAGGTGTCCAACGCAGGCGTGGATGTTCCGATTTGTGGTACTGCCTTACACCATTTTTCGTAGAATTCTTCATTTTTGTTCATATATGAGATATGCTAGCTGGAGATGCTAAAGAACCTTAAAGGAAGACCACAGATATAAATAAGACTGGTTTTGAGTCTAATACGAATGCAGCAGCAATCATAGAATGTTTTCTAAATTCTAAGGTCAATGACTGTTTTCAGAAAATTGATATTATTGTTAAAACTATACTTTTCACATATTCTAAATGTCTTATCTCTTTTTTTCAAAAAAAAAAAAAAAAAAAAAAGATTCTCTTTGTTTTTTGGGGTCCATTTAACATTCCATTTAATGTAGATTTTAATATCCAAATAAAGGAAATGTTGCTTTGAGAAACACTAGATTTCAACCTTTCTAAAAAAAGTTGATTATTAATTGCTTTCAAACGACTGTTCCTTTTCGCAAACATTTATATATTGTTTGCTAGTTGAATTTAAGTAAGAAGAAAAAAAAAATACACAAAAGAAGAAAATTAAGTAAATATCGTTTAAAAGTCTATAGATATTCAAATTAAGTATATTAATTATATCTCCAATTTTGACAATAAAGCAAATTGACCTCTTAAAATTAAATCTTGATGACATGGGTTTGATTTGTTCATTAATTATGTGTAATAAGTAAACTGAAAAAAATACAGAGATTCTTCAAATCACTGTATAGATGAAGTAGAAGATAAAAATGAATAAATAAGTACGTTCTTCTAATTTTATATTATAGGACTTGTTTTATTTCTTTAAATATTTTCATCGCATTGGCGCCCATGTCTCTGCAAGCGAATTGAATCAAAAAGATCACACAGAAAAATTCCAAAAAAGTAAATAAAGGAAATCACGATTTATTGATTAAAAAATTAGAGTTGAAATGACAAAATCTCAACTTGTCCATGTTAATAAATTTTTTAACCAAGATATTTTGATTTGTATTATTGTGAAACTATCATCTCAAGCATTATTGAGATGAAAAAAATTCTCTCAATTATTATATTATTCAAAATTTAAATTTCACATAACACCCAACTGTTGTTAGTCTTCCTGTAAATAATTGATGTGCTTATTGAAAAAGAATTGAGATAGCAATAACTGTACTTTAAATTCTGATTGTAATGAGTGATTTAGTCAAGCATAATCAATCAATTAGTTCGTTTTCAAATTTCAATTATATCTTTAACCGATGCTTTAAATACTTAATTAAGTTGATGTTAAGAATAAACCCTTAATTACCAAAAAGATGTATGTAGCATTATATATTTTCATATATCATTTCTTGGTATAATATATACCACGTGCCAAATCTAAAAACCCACGAGGGAAAAACCTAGGACATATCACATGCAGCTTTTAATACGCGTCTGCTTGTGGTCATGCATGCCTTTATCTCTGTAAGAGCCACAAACAGAAAAGTTATTATAACTGTGTGTTCATATTCACAATTTTTTTTTTACAAACTTATAAATTATATTATGTTTGACCGATATTATATTACAATAGTGTATTATTAGTCAGATATAATATAATTTGAAGAATTTATAAATATAACATTCTCTTAGTTTAATTTAAAATATACTTTTTATCTTCTAAAATAATAATAATAATAATATTTTTTTTGTCTAGAAATAAGTTACAAACACTAATTCACCACATGTGTTTTAGTAGGAGACTAAATTCCATATGAGTAAATTTTATAATATATGAATTCAAATATTAATGTCAGCTCTTTTGACTGAAGAAAATATTTACATTAAAAAAAAGAAATTACTCTCACACTTAAAAGATATGGAAACACACACATGCCATAATTTAAAAAGAAAAAAGAAAAGAAAAAGATAGTAGTCAAGGTTGTGAATGCATGGAGGAAAACGAATTGCCTTTGTCCAATCCAATCAATTTCACGTCAATAATAGACGGTGCCTACTTTTGGACCCATATATCCCTCTTTGTGCTGCCGTGTTCAACACTACACTAGCATCTAAATTCAAGCACCAAGGAAAAGGAACCTTAAACCATAGAATTTCTTGAATGGTTCATTATGTATATGTGTGGGTCACATTCCCATGTATCTCCCTCCATGGAAAATCATGGACCACCACTAATTGATACCCTTTGATGACAAGACTTTTGACTAGCCCCTTGATTAATCAAAACGAGGTCCCACTCCCATGCACATAAACACTATAGGTAGCTGAACCTAAAAAGAGCATGCAAACAAGGTATGCTTCTTCATTTCACACCACTTTGTTCTGTTTTTCTATTGGGTTAGGAATGTTTATGGTTTTCTTTTCCTAGAGTAATGAGGTAAACAAGCACAAATGAAACAATAGAGCAAGGTATGCTTCTTACCACCCCCCCCCCCCCCTTTTGTTCTATTTTTCTATTGGGTTAGGAATGTTTATGATTTCCTTTCTCATTTTTATGGTTTTAAAGATGAAATGAGGGGAATACCAAAAAAAAAAAAGAAAAAAAAAAAGAAAGAAAGATGAAATGAGGTAATTAAACAATAGAACAAAGGGTATTGTCCCTTCTTTTTCCATTGTGAAAGCGACATACGATACGTTCAAAATTATGCTAAATGACAATGTTGATAATGTGGATATGCCATTGTTGGGTGTTATCTACACAACCGTGCTTTCCTTATTACGTCATTCAAATGGAATTTATTAATGCTTTATCTGAAAAAGTATCATTTGATTTTCTATATTGCTTCCATTTTCACATGCCATATATTGGTCCCCACCATGACTTGGAATGTAGCCACTTTTCAACTTATCAAACTACTCCCATGAATAATTATTGAAAGAAATTTTATGAGCTAAGAGTTTTGTCTTAGCTTACTACTTTTAAACAAGATTATGGATAAGTATATAAATTCAAGTGAAAGCAGTTAGAGAGGAATCTTATCCTTAATTTATTTTCAGATTGTATATGTGAAATCTGAAGAAACGAAAATCAAGTTAAAAGAACACCATTGTAGACTAAATCAAAATGGAAATTTGTATACTAGAAAAAGTGAATAATAGAAAGAATCTTAACAGTGTAGGACAAACAAAAATGCGTTTCAAATCTGTGGTAATTGTGGCCGCAATTGATATAGTAGCCGCTTTGAGTGTTGCGTACAGTATACATCAAGTTTTCTTTCAACAAATTCTTCGCTTTTCAATTGTTCGATAACAAAGCAATTACGGAACCGATAGGTATATGGGTTGCAACTCAAATTTGAAAATCATGTTTTGTATGAATATGAATGCTTATATCTATAGTTGATTTTCTTTTTTTTTATGAATGGAAAACTTAAGAATAATAGAATATAGTTGATTTTTTTTTTCTTAGTGAAAGTTAAAAGAGAGGGGATTGTTGTTGGTGTTAAGAGGTTACTTATTATGAGAGGATTTTTGGATGCAAGAATTCAAACTAAATTTTTGAAGCAAAATAATTCTCTGTGAGTCAATATATATTGGCAAAAACCTCATTTTAAGCATTAATGTGACTTTATCAGAGTAGACATCAATGAAAATTTGAAACAGCACGAAACATTGACGTGGACTCTGGAACACAGCTAAACTTTAAGTGTAAATATGCCTTTTCTATTTGTTTAATAGATACAAGATCACTTTTTGAACATGTTTATATTTAGTAGGACGCACTATCTCTCACTCGGTGTTTTGGGTTAGTACGTGCTCGGTTGGATGATGAGTAGGTTTGATTTTGTTCTGATTTTTTTTTTGTCATAAAACTGTTCTGTGAAATAGTTATGGAAACAGATATTTTCAATATTTTTTAATTTTTGAAAGTTAAAAATCAAAACAGAAAACAAAAACAACTCAGATATGTTCTCTAAATTTGATTCTAAAAAAAAAAAAAACAGTTATAGTTTTCAAAATATTTTTTACAAAACAGACCTTACCAAACGAGTTTTTTTGTTTTTTTGTTCTGAAAACTGAAAAACTATTTTTAAAAACAACAATCAAACAGAGCCTTTTGTTTGAATATGTTCTGTATATGTTCTGTTTTTTTTTTCCCGTACAATTGTTTTTTAGAGTAGTAAATGAAAGAGGTATTTTCGTGTTTTTTTGTTTGTTTTAAAATTTAAATTATGTCCTCTAAATTTGATTCAAAAAACTAAAAAACAATTATAATTTTTAGAACTATTACAAAATAAGCATTATCAAACAACTTTTTTTATTTTGAAAATTAAAAAAAATATTTTTGAAAACAGAATTTAAATGAACCTCATATTCTCCAAATTTAATTCTAAAAATTAAAAAGATATAATTTTCAAAATTATTTTTACAAAAGAAACTTTATTAAGCGGTTTTTTTTTTCTGAAAATCAAAAACTGTTTTTCAAAACATAATTCAAACAGACCCAAGTTTTTTGTTTCTTTTCCCTCTAACGACTTCTCGGATTAATTATTAATAATTCAATAAAAAGATTATAATGCTGAAACTTGACAAGTTGCATGGAAATGAGCCACTGAGAAAAAGTCATTAAAATTGATATTTTTTATTGTTTTAACATTTCGGAATCATCTCGAAAGGTTTTGATCACGAAACGCACGTGAAATTGGCTAAATAGAAGGGGGAAAATAACTAAATAAATTAGAGTTAATAATATTCTTAAATAGGAAAAAAAATAATTGAAATCACGAAACTGTATCTATGAAAATAAAAAGATAAAATAAATTAAAAAATTTAAAACTTAATAAAAACAACTCCAAAAATCATAAAAAAAAAAAAACTGGGGCTAATGACAAAGCAACAAGTCTTGTTTAGAAAGCCCATTCTAAGGGGTTGATTAAATTTGAGTCCATTCTAAGATGGTCACTCCCGGATGCATTAGGTTTTTAGGACTATTTTTGCTTTTAGTAGCAATTTCATGATTTTATATATATTTTTTAATTATTTGAGACTTGTGCAATATTTGATTATCATTTTGGAGAATAAGAATTTCTTTTTATCAATCCCAATTCATTTGTTAATGAAGGAAATCTTAGATTTATGCGGAAGCGGTTTAGGACCTA